GTGTCTGCATTATCTGCATTTTTTGAAGACAAATTAATACACGCTAAATGCGACAAAGCACTTTTGAATCAAAAAATAAAACTTTTTAATAGTGAGATGAAAAATAAGTGGAATTATAGTGGCCGTAAAAGAAGCGCTTTTGAAAAACATATTCTAAATGGCTAAATTGGACATTCCTTTCCCTTCCGGATTCCAATGGAAATAAGGATAAATGTGCTGATAATGCTTCCAGTAACTGTTTTATTTGCCATGCCAAACCGACCGAAATGAATGTTACTAATTTTAAAAAAGTACCAATCGCTAATCATTACAAGTATGGGTTGTCTACACTGCATGCTTGGATTAGATGTTTTGAGTGTTTACTCCACATCGCATACCGTTTAACATTTAAATGCTGGCAAGTTCGCAAAGAAAACAAAGACGCCTTTTCTGCGAATAAAGTTAGGATTCAAAATGAGTTTAGGACAAGATTAGGCTTAATAGTGGACCAAGTAAAGACTGGATTTGGAACAACTAATGATGGCAACACAGCTCGCAAATTTTTTTCAAATGCAGAAGTGGCATCACAAATTACCGGCATTAATAAAGAGCTAATTCAAAATTTTTCAATAATACTGCGATTAATATCGTGTGGAATGCGTATTAATATCGACGCGTTTAGAGAGCTCCTTATAAGGACAAGAACAATGTATTTGACTGAATACGAATGGTACTACATGCCTAGCAGCGTGCATAAAATATTGATGCATGGGTGTGAGGTTATTGAGTATTTCGATCTACCAATTGGTAAGAAAATCGATTTGTTGCTATGCGGCATTTTTTACTACTACGAATTTATTCCCACAGGCAATTTTTCAGAGGAAGCTCTGGAAGCTTTACATAAACACATACGTATCGTACGATAAGATCATACACGTAAAACTGCTCGGGAGCATACAAACAGAGACTTGATGTCATACTTAACAATATCATCAGATCCTGAAGTAGTTTTTAAAAGGAGTGCTATCCCAAAAAAAATGCAGTTTATACAATGGACGAGCTGCAAGGGTATTTATTCGACGCTGAAGAAACTTAAAAGTAATAAGTACCCTTCAGTCAACTCAATTAGTTTTATACTAATCAAATACTAGTCAGCCACACGGCCTCAACTAGTTCGAGTTCTGTAATTTTTCCATATAAGCAACTGGTATTTTTAACACGGCGATGTCCTACGAGATGGCATTTGTCCTCTTCTGCATCAGCACTATACCAGTTGGCATACTAGTCAGCCTTTGCATCAGCAATATATCAGTTGACATACTAGTCAATATATACATCAATATCATACCATTTAAGATACTAGTTCGTATATACGTCATGATCGTACCTGTTGGCATACTAGTCATTATATACATCAGAATCATAGCCGTTGACATACTACTCAGTCTATGCGCCAGAACATACTAGTCAGTATGCACGTCAAGATCCTACCACTTGTCATACTAGTCCACGTCTTTGACATTCATTCCAGTTGGTATACTATGGGATGGGATTTTTCTGATTAGTATGATTCCTAGTATAGATTACACTTTTTCTGCCTAGTATCATTTCAACCCGAAATTCATGAATGAATTCATGTATGAATACACCACAAAATTAATGTATGAATACACCACAATTCATGTATGAATACACCACAAAATATATAAACAATAAACTAGTGTGTTTGCTGAGTAGTTTGGAATTTGACTGCATGATGACTTTAATTTTTCAATAAACGGCGTTAGATAAAACAAATAATTTTTGATTCAGTATTTTGCAACAACTCTTGTTCGTGCGAAGTAACTAATAAAAAGGAAAACAAAATTATATTTGTCTTTTGAGTATTTAATGACGTCTTGAATGAATCAAATTTTTTAAGCGTGTGACATCCACACCAAAAGATATAATCAATTTAAAAAAAACATTTTGTAGTCAAAAAGGACCAAAATGAGGGTAGCTGCCATTCCTAGAGGGTTTGCGTAAGAGAGATAAAGGGAATCTTATTTGCCATGAATTAAGCCATAGAATGAAGCCTTGAAGTCTTTAATATTATTAGGAAAACGCCCTGTATAAATAATAAAATAACTACTCAGTTTTGGAACTACTTCTGAATATCAAATTTTGCAGTTTCAATCTCAGTTTCCATGAAAAATGTAAGAGCTAGGTAAAAAAAAAATGAAATCTCCGTACTCTAATCCACCAAGAAACGAATTTTTACTCAAATCCGTCCATTATTCTATTTTTG